TGAGACTTGTCCCAGCCCAGGAAATTTCACCCTAGCAGCTACACCTCTGAGATCTTCAAATCCAGGGCTAGATCCCAGAAAGCACTGAACATCTCCTGCCAGATGATCACCCCAGTAAACATTTCCAATAAGGGAGATGATGTCAGGGGAGCCACCAGCTACTCTGCCTCAAGGCAGTTATCATTTCGATTGGAATTCCCCAGTGTTTGGGTGCTTATTTGAAATGCACTGCTCTACCAAAACTCTGGAGAGCTTGCACTTTTTTTCTATATGCTTGATTTTAGGACCACTCAGTTAATTTTTCTTACATCTGTTCACTATTAATACTAGAGCTATTTAGCCAAAAAACAGTGCTCTGCCAATCCAATCAGGCATTATATGGCACCTTTTGTAGGTGGGAGCCATGACAGAAGATGAAGTGATTGCTTCAGACACTACAAGAGAGGTAAGAATGCAGGAAACAAGATAAACCTGAAACCTGGGTGAGCCCCAGATAAAACTGACTTCAAGTCCAATTCCAAACTGGCATCTGTATAGCCCTGTTTTGAGTCTGCAGTTTACCTTGCAAAGCACTTCACTTGCTCCTTACTCCCTTGTCTGTCTTGATGATAAAATCCTTTGCAAATTTGGAAATCATAAGTTTCCTACTAATTTTTTTTATTCAACAAGGCTAAATTCCGGGTCCTGACCTTGTGTCACAACAACCTGGTGCAATGCTACAACCTTGGGGAAGAATGGCTGAAAAGCTGCCCAGAGGAAAAGGATCTGGGGGAGCTGGTCAACTATGAGCCAACAGTGTGCCTAGGTGGCCAAGAAGGCCAATGGTACCCTGGTTTGTATCAGAAACAGTGTGGCCAGCACTGTGGCCAATCACTAGGGAAGTGATTGCCCTCCTGTACTCAGCACTGGTGAGGTTGCACCTCGAGTACGATGTTCAGTTCTGGGCCTCTCACTACAGGAAGGACATTGAGGGGCTGGAATGTGTCCAAAGAAGGACAACAAAGCTGGTGAAGGGTCTGAAGAACAAGTCTCACAAGGAGCATTTAATGGAATTGGGGTTGTTTAGTCTGGAGAAAAGGAGGCTGAGGGGAGACCTTATCACTCTCTGCAACTACATGAGAGGAGGTTGGAGCAAGGTGGGGGTTGGTTTCTTCTCCCAGTTAACATGTGATAAAAAAAGAGGAAACAGACTTATGTTGTGCCAGGGGAGGTTTAGATTGAATATTAGGAAAAAAATCTTTACTGACAGGGTTAAAAAATTCTTTACTAGACCAGGCTGTCCAGGGAAGTGATGGAGTCACCACCCCTGGAGGTATTTGAAAGACATGTAGATATCATACTTCAGGACATGGTTTAGTGGTGCACTTGGCAGTGTGCTAGGTTAACAGTTGGAGTTGATCTTAAAGGTCTTTTCCAACCTAAACAATTACATGATTCAATGGAGACAGATCCTTTTATCCCACCAAAAGGCAAAGATTCTGAGTATAAGGCTCCTGGATAGAGCAACACATGGATAAGAGACAAGACCAGCTGCTCTCATATACAACAGTACTCATTCTTGATCAAAGAGGGACTTGTCCTTTCATGGCCTCACTGGGTTTACTGGGTTTTGTGATACCAGTAATAAGAACAGATGGATAGCCATTCTGGTTCAGATGAAAGGCCAAAACCATCCAGTGCTCTGTCCCCATCAGCAGCCACACATAGATATGCAGGAGTGCACCTGCAGGCCAAGCATACAGAACAGTTCCTCCTAACACTACCTCACTCTGTCACCACTTTCAGGTCAGAAATTTCCTGCGCCTGCTATGGTTTCTCTGTTTAGTAATCCTCATGAATATTTCTTTTTCAGGGAGTTGTCCAGCCTCTCTTGTGAGTAAGAAGTATTCAGGGGATGACGATAAGCAGCAGCAAGCTCCTTGCATTAAGAACCTGCTTCAGCAAGAAGTTCCACAGATCTTACATTACATGAAGACACACCTTCCAATATTTTTTTGGTACATGCCTTCCACTAGTTTCATATCATGGCCTCTAGTTCTTTCACTGGGAAGAGCACAGCTAGCTACTTGTTCTATGCCAGTCATGAGCCTGTAGACCTAGTATTGTCTCAGCAGCTACACCACAGAGGATTTAATGTCCTGAAACATTAAGGTAGAAGGTCAATATGTTGCACTAAAATTTGGCCAACTACAGAGTGGATTTTAGAAGTATTACATTAGCTTTTGGGATAGATCTCATTTATTTACACACTTACTCAGGTAAAGGGGGGAAGGTATTTTCCTACTTCATATGTCAGAAGAAATTGGCACAGCCAGTATTAGGAAGGAAAAATGGCAGTGAATTGAGGGATATTCAGGGGAAAGGGAGATAATAAGGTGCTCAAGTGTGACACAGAAACACATTTGCCTAGATCAGGTACATATCAGGCTCACATACATACACACACACACACACAGATACATGGGCAAC